GATGTGCACAGCTTAAGTAATGTGCACCAGTTCAGATGATCCTACTTTCCTTTTGAAATTCATGCAAGACCCTCTCTCCTTGCTACAATTAATTAAAGAACCCAGAGCTATTATTCTTAAAAGGCAGGATTTGTCTCTGATCTTTGTCCTACATTACATCTTTTTTTTGTCAGAGGTTGCAACACGAGCAGAGGTGGATGGTTTAGCTTGATACATGACTCATTACCAGAGGGCAGCCTTCTTTTCCTCCGTACTGTCCTAATTAGTGCAAATCTGCCCGCACAAATAGCCCACAAGGATAGGGCTTTTCATTGTTCTCTGTCCTACATCAGTGCAACTATTATAAATGGTAATGTTCCTGGCTTGCATTTCATAAACATCGAAGTTAGGAAATGCTCAGTTTCCTTTTATCCTTTACTAAGCAAGCTTGAGCTTCTTTACTGGCAAAGTATGTGATGAATAGCTGACCACTAACAGAGTGATTAATTAGCCAGAAGGCATTCTCTTCTCTACTTGTTTTGCCATTAAATTATATGGCCACCTTAACTAGACTGAGTTGATACTGATTTCTGTTTTAGAAGATTGTTTTTGACTACAGCTGACTGTAGTCTGCTGACCCATATAATATTTAAAATAAATCATGATCACTGTGCACTTACTGATCTAGATATGAAGAATTTTCAATTATAAAATGGCAGCTAGATATCCAATACTAACTAGAAGTAACACAGACTTAAATACAGTTGGTTATTTAGAAGATTCATCATGAAGCATTATTAAAAAGAAAACCCTCAACCTCAGAAATTCAGAATGATGGAAGAGGCAGTAAGTTCCTAGACTTAATGGTTCACTAGAACTACCATTAACTGCTGCTCCATGAGTAAATATTGAAATACATATTTACTGGCCTTAACCAATTCCTCTCCAAAGATTTTATGTAAAAATGGAAAACTAGTATTATCTAGGTCTGAACATATCCCCAAGGAAAAAAAGGCAGAAAGGGACTTCATCTTTTTCAGACTCAGCTCTAAGTAAGCCTTAGGTCGGAATATACTCCATTCATCTTGGCTGAGCTTTATGAAATGAAACCTTTCAATTCTTAAAGTGTGCCTCTAGCTGCTATAGTTACAGCAATAACCTCCCAAAGGTGAAATGAGTAACAGATGTAGCAGTGTCTGCAGCCACCCTTGGGACAAGGACTCTGAGGAGTGAACTCCTCTGTCTCATGTTAGTCCTATGAGCGCGGAGTCCAACCCTCAGATATGTGACTTCAGTGAGCAAGAAAGGGGTTTGGACAAGTACAGCTCCTTGAAACTGGGAGCTGCTGTGGGGAAAGAGATCACAGATACAGGAATAAGGAAACAGCAAAGACAGAAGAGAGCAAGGGGAAAGGAAGAGGAGTCAGTAGTGCCATGAGGCTCCCTGAACAGAGAAAGTGATGATCAGACAGTAAATTCAAACTAATTGCCATATAGTCCCTGCCCATCAGCAAATACCAATGGCCATCAATAAGCTGCTGATCAAGAGATCAGGAGGCAGAACTGGGGAGCTGAGAATCCCAAGGCTATAGCAGGAATTCTTCCTAATGTGGCAAGTTCAGTGTCCTGACACTGAATGGTCACAGCTTGAGGGGTAGGGAACCCTTCCCTCTTTCTGCATGCTAGAGGACCTCCACTTGTCTGGGGTCAGACACAATTTTTAAAAATGAAGTGTCATTAGCAAGACACTTCTTGTTTCTTCTGTAACTTTGAATGCAAATTAGAAGACACAGGTAAAAATGGGTTGCCTAACTGAAGCTTTTGCTCAAGTTTCAAACTCAATTTTTGGTTTAGAGGGTATTCACTTAGTGTAGAAAAATAAGGCAGTCAGCTAATCAGATCAAGTGTCTTGGCAACGCCCCAGATTCAAATGTTCCTCTGGCTATAATAGGGGTTTTGAGATAAGAAACAAACATTTCCACAAATTGCTGACACAAAGAAAGAACAATCCAGCAAGTTCAGAAGAAAAAACCTCATCTACCCTTGAAAAGGTTCATTACTAAAATAAAGCTTTATATTAAAATATCTGTGGTATCTTTATACTTCTGCAAGGGATGCTTCTGCTGTTCCCAGAGTTGTGACGGCTGATTGAAAGTGTATTGCACACTTTCCATACAAATAGAGTTTAAGATAACATTACAGGCAATAAGATGTCTAATATTAGTGTACCTGTCAAGCACATTTCCAAACTAATTGATATTGCATGTTCAGCTCATTGTATCACTAACGTTAAACAACATTTCCATTTTCTTGAATTGCAGCTCCCTTTTACTAAAAGCCATTTTAGCAGAAGTAACTGGTCTCAGGAATTCCAGCTTTAGGCAGGCATCCAGATGTTTGTAACTTCCATTAACTGCCCTGAGGAGGCTGAAGCTGATCACACAGAGTAGATGTTTTTAATAAATGCTGACCTGCAGTTCAGCTCTTTGCTAGGTGGGTCATGGCTGAAGTGCTGATGCAGTTCTGCAGATCAAGTTGTTTCACAAGGACTTGAAAAGCACTGAGATGTCACAATCTGGTGCTTGCTTTCTATGGCTGGTATAAACTCAACTGGACATCCCCAGGGGAGCCTCCAAGTTCCCAAATATATTGTAGACTGCAGAAAAATCAGACTGAACTTTTTCTTGCCATCAGTTTAGTCTCTTGTACAGCTCTGGTCTGTCTATGCATTGTCTACAGCACCTCTGTTCAGGATTGTCACACTGGCTTCTCCTGTGATGGTGAGGTGCTGATGTGTCAATCCTTATCAGCAACTTGTGTGTCTTGCAGGGCAACTTTTGTGTTTTCCTAAATTCAATCTGGAAACTCGTGGCCAGATTAAAAATATTTGTGAGATCTGTCTTAATTTTTGCACTGTATTCATTAGAGACTCCATGACCACCACTGAACATAATCTGAAAACTACAACTAGGTATTATGTCAGTTGATGCTTTCTTTTTGGTTTTTTTTGCAAATATTTGTGTGAATTCATACTGGGCTGAGAAATGCTGAGGTTATGACATGCATTACTTTTTTGCTTAGGTTTTAGATAGAGATCTATCTTTCTACAACTTCCCAGAAAAAAAAATAATAAAAATTACACCACACTGGTGTTACACACACACACACTTCCCAGAATTCCAGTCTGGTTGAGGTTGGAAGTGACCTTTGAATGGCATCTTTTCCAACTGCCCTGCTCCTAGGGCAGGCTGCTCTGGATACTTCTTGTTATTTTGGTACATATTATGTCTGTACAGGATGCACACATGTGCACCATCTATATATGACACAGTTTTTGTTAGAAAGCTCCAGTTCTGCAATAATGGATCACCTTTCCAAGCCTACTGTCAGGTTTCTTGGTGAGAAGTACTCACTTAGAACACTGTCATTACAATTAATTTTAATACAACATGGTATTCCAATACCCAAAGGGAACTTACGGTGAAGATGGGGCAAGACTATCTGCCAAGTGCATGTAGTCACAAGACAATGGGGAACTGGTTCAAATTGCAAGAGGGTAGGTTTAGGTTAGAACCTAGAACCATTTTTTACCGGGAGGGTAATGAGGCACTGGAATGAATTCCCAGGTAAGTTACGGATGCTCCATCCCCGCAGGTGTTCCAGGCCAGGTTGGATGGGGCTTCAATCAATGTGATCTAGTGGAAAGTATGCCTGCCCATGGCACGGGGTTGCAACTGGATGGTCTTTAAGGCCTCTTCCAACCCAAACCATTCTAGGGATTCTATGATTCTAAGTCACAAGTTATTTTCCTCGAATGAATTTTCCCACGCCATACCGTTTCAATAAATTTGGCACAATGAGACTCTCATATTTGAGCACTTTTGCCCGAAGTCACTCCTTTGTACACTCTCTCTGACGGACCGCACTACTGAGTCTGCAGCCGGCGAAGGCGCTGGAGCGTCTCCAGCCGGGGCACTGAGTGCGGGCTCCCTCAGCAGCGCCTACAGCGCCTCCGCGCTCCTGCCGGCCGGGCCCGCTCCGGGCCCCGCTCCCGGCCCGGCTCTCTCCGGGCCCCGCAGAGCC